TTTGCTCAATGAAGTATCAGCCTGTTTAATCAATCATAACTTGCTGTGCGTCTCCTGGGGGCTAAGCCCCCCTTGTCCTTAAAACCTAGTGACACCCCTGGCTTTAAATGCTGTGAAAAGCATCGTTCCAGCTTCGGACTTCATCATATACAGTAAATACTTGCCAACTTGTCATTTATTAAAATAAAGGATATTTCTTTTGCCTTTACATACATAGTTTTGATGTTTTTGTGAGATGAGGCTGCAGAAAACACCACCTCACTGCACCAAACTGACTGTTTTTACTTCAGATAATTACACAAATTACAGCAGCTAATTCTCCACTTGGGTGCACGCATTAGATGACGACGTGGGCAGATGGGGTGGATTTCTGGGTCATGTCTTGATTAGTCTGCAGCAACTCAGTGATAAATGGCAATCCACTAAGTGGCGTTTAGCAAACGACGGCTAAATTCAGGAATGATTAGTGATTTGATCAAACTGATGAGCCCTGCTGCTGCGCATGAAAGTCACCTGCTCTCCTTAGTGGTCCGTTAACAGAAACTGTGCAGTAAAAATGCTGAATGGACCACCAGCTTCAAACTGAGTCCAACATGTCAGGGAAATATATTTTCACTGCATGGCATGAAGAGAAAATTAAAATCTCACAGTTCAAAACTGATGTAAACGTTTATTTTTTTTTTAACACAAAGTATAATGTTTCCTACTACTGACTGATGAGCAACTTCAGCAAAAACAAGGGATGGAAGAAAAAACTTACAAAAAATGAGGATGAAAAATATTTTTGGTAAACTAGGTTTACCAAATACTGTGTTGGCATTGTTATTTCATCAATAACATATGAAAAATGGAAGTTAATAAATTAATAAACAATGTAACTTTTTTAACAATAGCATTTTGAACACGACTATGTTATAAATCAGTGGATTAAACTGTTTCAAAACATTACTTTTGTTCAGTCTAATGAAGGCAGGTAAAAGCTAAAAAAGAAGCATGATACAATCTTTGGCTCAAACAGTATTCACCCTATTTTTTTTCTTTTTTATGAAGGGGGGATTACCAAATTATTTTAAATTAGAGGAAAATATTAGTAATTTTATTCGAACTGTGGGCCCAGAGAGCTGATAAAATGCATATTTAGCTTATAAAGATTTGTTTAAAAGAAACAATTCCTTTACAAAAATATTTACGTGGTTAAAACTTAAAGTTAAAGTATGATAATGTGAATGTTTGTGCCATGATTGATTCTTTGAATAAAAAAATTAAATACTAGTATAAATGTGGAGTAAACTATCTGAACATGAAGATTAATACAAAGTGCCGCTGATGTTTTAGGTGTTTGTTTTAAATGAAACAGAATCACTGCTGTGGATGTTTTTAGACATRAGGCCAGTTGTTTTCAGGATAACAACACTAGTGGCTGTTTTGTTTGTAACAATTTGTATTTGAATCTCAATGGACATTTCCGACAACTTCCGTCTCAGAGAAGGACTCTTCTTCACTGAAACTCTTAAACTTTTCACACAACGGTTTTAAAAACGTTTCTCGTCCAGACAGCTGCCTCTATCTCTCTTCTGTCTGGCAAAGTGACACAAAACAACATGAAAACACCGACAAGAAACTTACCAAAAAGCGATGCGCTACCAGGAAATAGAAACGCCAGATCACGTGACGGAGGACGGCCTTGCGCATGCGTGAACACGGGTGGGCGTGGCTTCTCTTAAAGGAGCCGCTGTAAAAGCTGGMTACAGATGTATGAATTACATCAGTACTATATAAAAACTTGTCTGTGGGTAATGCTTTTCAATGTTTTTGTCGGAAGCACCTTGATTTTGCCCATCCCTAAAAAATAAAAATGATTTTCCTTAAAAGAAAAAGAATAACAAAACCTGCTTTATTTACTCAGTTGTGTGTCTAATCTTTTTACGTTCAACTCTCCTCTATCTTCAGGACTTTACTATGCCTTGCTGGTTTATACATATTGTACTCCATTTGGCAGGACAGTAGACGACGTGTTCAGAATGATGACTGTTGTTGGCAAGAAAAAAAAGTTATTGAGAACTAATATGCTCCATTCATCTTCTCGTCCTTTTTTCTGGTTTGTCATGTCATGCCTGTCTGTTTTCACAGAGACGTTCCACCTGAGACATATTTCACTTCAGTGAACATGTTTCATGTTAGCTGGTCCRTTGATGACACTGTCATGAAGCAGATGTTTTGCCAGATGCTGTCTGATTTTTGAGAAAAAAATCAAACAGGAGAAGACTCAGTCTGCACAAATATAAGTATCTTAATTTCACCTGTAGATGAAAACATATATCATGTTACTGATTCTAAATATTACTTTAGGGCTGTKCTACTTAGGGACATGTTTAGATTTTTTTTTCACTAGGGTAGCCAAGCAGGGGCACAGATTGTGGAAGGGCGGCACAGTAAAATTGCAATTTTATCCACATTTTCTGCAGTGTTMAAATTCAATAAACAGAATCTGAATAAYAAAACTTTTTATTTACCCAAATATAACACAAAATCTTGGACATCCATACACAGTTAGRAATTTGGATACATCACAATCTCACAGTCTGCCTATGCTTTCAGTGTAAGAATTGCAATAAAGTAGAATTACAGGGATTTCTGCAGAAAATTTACAATATATTAAGCATTATGACAGCTTATACATCTGTTTTCATGTGAAAAAAGTGATTTATAACTCTGGTGGGGGCAGACAGACAGGGTGGCCAATCAGATTTCAAGGGTAGCCAGTGCCTGCCCCCCTGGTCACCCCCATGGCCATGCCCCTGGGCTCTTGGGTCTTAATCTGCATGACTCAACAGGCCACTGATGTGTATTTCCTGCTTTGTGCTTTTGGGGTTGCWGCTTGTGAAGACACTTTTGCAGTTGAACTTGTGATATGAAATTGTGTTATAAATATGTCTTGTTTAGTTTCTGAGTCCACCAACATCTGAAAAGTCTGTAGAAAAGATATTCTAATTACTTTGAAGATCCACGATGTCTAAAAACAACATCCACAGCAGTGATGACAAACACCTAAATCATCAGCGGTACTTTGTGTTAATCTTCAGAGTCAGTGCAGCAAACACTCCTCACACGTGTTAAAATATGAAAACTAAACCACCGCAGAGCCTGTAAGTGTCGGCTGTTTGTCGTTGCTCAGGATGAAGGCTGAAGATGACAGTTTTATCTTTGAGGAGCAGAGTAGAAATAAACGCAGCACTAAGCAATCAGGTTGAACATCTGTTCTCTGTCACGGCGACACTGCAGCAACGCTAAAGACTCTCTCTGTATGTCTCTCTCTCCTCATTCAGCTGAAAACTGACAACCGACTCCCTCACAGCAAAACATACAGTAGATCATCTGAAAACAGACAGAGCCCAGATCAACTTCTGAACTGGAAAAAAAAAAAAAGAAATACGAGGGCCCGTCACATCTGGCGTGGTGGAGTTTACGACTCAAATAGGCACATGAACTAAAATAAAGAAAATTAATTGTGCTAATGTTCACGGTCGAGCAGCTTTTGAAGATGCTGCTGCAGCTGAGGGGTTCTCAGATTGACGACCCAAAGCGAAGGCTTCTGAGCTTGGCAGAACATTTGCTGACAGYAACCGTCTTCTGACATAAATAAACCAAAGAAGAGCTTTACTTCTTGCAAGGAAAATGGCCATCAGTCTCTGTATATTCTTATAAATACCACACTTTAGCTCTTACTTTAATCCTTACATTATTGTTTGTGACCTGATTTTAAAGATCAGGCACTTTTGCTGAAATGCTTTTGCCTTTGGATGTGYGTTCTCAGGCCAATCTGCAGTTTTTTTGTCTTTTCTGTACTGGCACAGTATGTCAGGGGATTTAAGACCAATCCCAGCAGTCTGCAACAGCATCTGATTATTTTAAAACCCATCTGGGCTTTGTTTTAAGCTTGAACTCTGGGCCTGTTGTGTTAKATTTTGTGTAAAAAGAAGTCGAAGCCTGAAAGGTGGAGCTGCTGTGATCCAGTTTCGTTGTTCGCCCCCCGGTTTGATTCCGTTACTGTGACTCGTGTCATCACGAGGGGGGTTTTCTGTTGTTGTTTACCCTCTTCAGTTCTGCTTTGTTGCCTTTTGTTTTTTGCTTAAAGCCACACAAAGAGACCGCAGTTTGAATTTAATCGACTCGATGAGAAACAGCCGCGTCAGGGCAAAGGTCACGGATCAGATCCATCTCTTACCTGCTTTCTCTGTCTGAAAACGTGAACGCTCAGGTCTGTATTTATGTTTGCCTGTGGGAGAGTGTGTTGCGCCTCCATGCACAGAGGCCTGTCAACKAACTGATTCATTACATCACTGTGCGCCCCCTCCCCGGAGGCGTTCTCCCTCCATGCGTGAGATCCACGTTTGCCTGCACAGAATCATAGTCCTCCTTCTCCTCAGAAACACTGGCGATGAAGGGTGGTAGGCGCAGATCGGGGTGTGACACGAGCCTTTAAATCAGTTGTGAAGTGTGCGTTGTGCTGAAAATCAAAAAACGCCCACTCAGATCCACATTTCTGCTTCATTCTTCTGCGCCGCCAGCCAGAGCAAATATTAAAATGTCACCGTTTGTGGACGGTTCTGACTCCAGAAAAGTTTTCAAAAGAGGGGGGACGTCAGATGGGGGCTGCTTCTCATGGTGGGGTGGCCCACCAAAACCCAGAACAGATTTTCAGGAGGGGTTTTGAAAAATATTGCAATATGGACGTTAAGGAAGCACCCTATTTTTTATTTTACAGATGATATGATTAGCATCAGCACAGTTAGTTAGTTTGCTACAACTTACTGAAGTGTGTCCTCTTCCCTCTAAAATGTATTTGGAAAAAAAGGTATGCATACATCCTCCGTAGAGTCTGCATCCTGATGTGAAGACATTAGTTTTCTGCATCATAATATTTTATTTTAATCTTTGACCTTATAAAATTTTATTTGAAACTACTAAACCATATGTTTTTTAGATGTCTGTAAGGTTTACCTGATCCAAAACAGCTAAGGAAATAAAAAATACAGCCCAAACAAAAGCTCAGGACTCAGGAGGACAAACGACAGGCTAGCCAGTGGGAATCCATGGGGGGGGGGACCCAGGACATTAGAGAGTGGCCACTGCCCTCCTTTAGCCCACCCTTAGTGTCACCCCTGTCTAAATGCTTCTGCTAACAGCTAATAGCTAATTGTGGAACACATTTTTTATCAAGCAAATTACGTTTTTCTCTAAATTTAAAATCTGTCAATGGAACAATTAGCTTCCGCTAACRGTTTTGTCAACATTAGGTCCGCTAACAGCTAACTAACAAACTAACATAAACAGGTTTGTGTCAGTCTCACCAGTCTTCAGCTCAAACGAGTTGAAAATGTGTGATGCAGACTGACAGTCATCTTAGCAGATAGCAATTAGCTGTTAGTATTAGCTTCCACTAATATTTACCTGTTTAGTGTTAGCTTCCACTAATATTTACCTGTTTAGTGTTAGCTATTTACTTGTTTAGTGTTAGCTTCCACTWATATTTACTTGTTTAGTGTTAGCTTCCACATTTTTTATATGTTTASCRGTTTAGCATTAGCAAAGCWATATTTTTTGTTAGAAGAGTTAGCGAAGCTAATTTTTTGGTTATCTGTGCGCACCGCTGTGACTAATGTATATAACTAAGAAACAGACAAACATTCACAGAAATTATCTACGTACATTTTAAATGAGCTGTTGGAAGAAGCAGTGTTTGTTGTTGAAATAAATGAAATTTATTGATAATAACTGTCCTTTTAGGCTACATGCAGGTATTTAGAACTGTGTGTTAAGCTTCTGTTCCATCTTTGAGTTTTTTTTAGCTCTAACTTTATCTTGAACCGAGGAGTTGAGCAGCCGTATTTCAACTTGTACTGCATCTCTTTCTTATTTTTCTTTGAGTGATGAATAAAAWGCCTTGCACTACTCGTGTTTACTCCTGTGCCATGAGGCAAAACGATCTCAGGCGACACTAATCCTCGTGGAGGTTTATTTATTTTTCAGTTGTGAGGTCAGGATGAGGGAGATTGAATGTCCTGTTTGCCTGCAGGGAGACGTTTTTCAAAATACTCAACAAACCACAAGAAAAACGCAACATTTGCAGTGTGAACAAGGAGTACATGTTTGCATCGCATTGTGCGAGTTTAGATCTCCTGCAGAGTGATGCTGATTGGATGCGTATCTCTCTCCTGAACATATGGTGTACAGGAAGTGATGATGCATTTTGTTGTCATTGCAAGTAGCTCATTTCTTGTGGTGCTGAGCGGAAGGAAATCAAGACACAATCTGCCAAAAGGAAAAAAAAAACTAGATTCTGTGTTATCAGGTCGCCCTGGCATTTTTTTATTATCTTTGCTAATCACCCTTTAGGCCCTAAGTCCACAGTGTGCATCTGATAAAAGTGGCTGATTATTGCAATGAGGCATCRTGCCACTCCAACTCAAACACACTGTAACTCTCAATCTGACTGCTGTTCAGCCACGTTAAYACATGAGCAAAAAGAAAAGTGTGGCAGAGAAAACGGGGAGGCTAATTTCTTGTACATGTGTGCTTCCACTTAAATAATCCGGTGGTGATATTCATTCTTATCAACATGTGCTTTTTTATGTTTTTTTWWTTTTATTTTTTTGTTCAGTGGAGCGTGTGATTATGCAGCTTCAGAGGCATATTTTCAG